CTCTTAAATAGATGAATGTCCGAAGGCTTATCTGTATTCATTTGTTAGTGAACTCCGCAGATATAGGATTTGTATATCTTTAGTCGTATATTTTTAGTCGTATGTTTTTTATAGATGAAATCATTCTGTGAGCCTGTATTATAAATATAATGTATTGTAAGCAGGGTAAATTGTAAATGTTTAAAATTTTATTGAGATAGCAAATTTGTAGTGTTTCAGGCTTACTATGGGCCTCGGGGGCCTTAAGCTTATCTGGGCCCTGGCCCTAGTGCCGGTCCGGCCCATGGAGTCAGGTCGTGACATCAAGATAGGTCTTTCACAAACTTAAGAGTGCTATAAGCCAAATTGCATAAATTTCAAGGGCAAATTTATGCATTTGGGCATTTTAATTTTTTAGCAATTTACTCATATATATCTTACACGTTAAAATAAAAACTTAAATACTAAACAATTGCGCAAAGCATGAGAAACCACTTATTTTATATATGTTATAGACGTACATTATAGATATATACAGATATAAATGGATATAAGTGCATAGAAAAGAATTATAAGGCCGAGAGAGGTTGAATACATAAATTCATCTCTGTACTTTTCGCGAAAAACCTTGTGACACTTTCAACTTTTATTTTGACCTATTAAACACTTTAACTATAAAATTATACTTGTTAAATATTTTATTTGACCCGTTGAGCACCTCGACTTATAAAATTGGATTGATTAAATACTTGTTAAAAAATTTAAAAATGTAAAATTATTGTTCAAAAAGTTATATTAATTGCATATTAAATTAATATTTTGCATATAAAAGCCAAAAAAACCTTAAAATTTATTGATTTTAGTGTAACGAGGTGTGAAATTATTACAAAAATTAAAATTCAAGATGTCACAAAATCAATTTTATAATTTAGTTTGACATAAAATTTTTTTTTTTTATCAAAGTTCAGGGGTTAAGTGATATATTTAGCCGGCTGAGAGACTATAAATTTTTCAACTAACATTCGAAAAATGAAAATTCAAACATGAATTCTTAAATGTAGTAAATTTGCAGTGCAAAATCATCAGAAAGCCCTGCCACGAGAATGTTGTTCGTGACAATATAACTAGACGTCTTAGATCTCAACACGTGTAACTTTATCCATGTGGCATTATTTCATTGGTTGTCATCTCTCATGATTCCACGTAGGCTTGAATTTTCCACGGTATTCTGCGGACTTCTTGTTAACGTTCTCTTTATGTCCTCTATCTTCCCTCTTCACCTCCATCGCCAAAACTATTTGATCAAATGGTGTTTCTTTGTTACGCATGAGCACCAATCACCAACCTGTGCACACTGGCGATTATATGTGTATAATTCCAGCACCCTTTCCTCTTATTTATGTTTTAAGATCCTACTTCTCTGCATACATTATTTTGATGTGGATTAGAGAAGTTACTATGTTGTTCATTATCGAGTCAGGTTCCATTTTTTTCGTTTATTTTTTACTTTTTATAATTCTGATGTGTGTCTATATATCTTCCTCTTATTTTATGGTTTTAAGATCCTACTTCCTCTGTCATACATTATTTTTGATGTGGATTTAGAGAAGTTACTATGTTGTTCATTATCAGTCAGGTTCGCATTTTTTTCGTTTATTTTTTACTTTTTATAATTCTGATGTGTGTTATAATATATTATATATTAATATACTATATAATATATATAAAGCAGGGGTCATAATGACACGTGTAATGCATTAAATGTTTATCTTTTATACTTTATTTGAACATAAAATTAATTTATCATTGTACATGATTAAACCCGTCTAGAGAATTGGATGAATAAACGTTGCGAGAATTAAATAACAATATTAATAATAATTTATATAAATTTTTATAATGATATAAATAAATTACATAATTTGTGAATTTTTTTTTTTTTTGTATATGCTTTACCATGTATCCGGCATTCTATCACTAGAAATCACCTATCTAGCTTTGGGCTTAGGTCACAAGTTAAGGCTGTTCGCCCTTCTGCAAGTCTGTCTCTAGTGGGATCAAAACTCGAGAATTCATCTCACATCCCCAGTCTTGCGTTGCCAATTGAAACCAGCAATCTATAAGTACATAATTTATGAATTTTAATATGATGAACAGTTTACTATTTAATTTTTTTTTTTTTTTTGTATATGCTACCAGTATCCGGATTCTATCACTAGAAATCACCTAATCTAGCTTGGGGCTTAGTCACAGTTAAGGCTGTTCGCCCCTTTCTGCAAGTGTCTCTAGTGGGGGATCAAACTCGAGAATTCATCTCACATCCCCCAGTCTGCGTTGCCAATTGAACCACAATCTATAAGTACATAATTTATGAATTTTAATATATGAACAGTTACTATTTCATACTAAAAATTAAAAATTATTTTTTTGTTAAATTAAATTATGATAAATATAATGGATTAATTATTAATATTAGAGAATTAATAACATGATAAGTTGATGATTTATACAACTTTTAATTATTTAAAGTAAATTATTTACTTATGAATTTTATAGTGAGTTAATTATTTTTTACATTAATTTAAAATAAATCAAATTAATGAATCTTACCACCTTTCATTTTATTTCTTTTTTATTTATCTTTATAATTTTAATATTTTTAATCCACACTCTTGAACACATGTCTATCTATTAATTTTTATTGTAATAAATAAAAATCACGGCTATATTTTTTTTACTATTGATATATCTTTATAATATTTTTTTAATAGCATAATAAAAAAAAATTCATTCAAGAATCAATAAACTATATATATATTCTTTCAATTTCACTTTACTTTACGCTTTTTTAAACCTTGCTATATTGCTAGTATATATATATATATATATATTGCATTAGTTTGTTTAATTTTTTAAGGGTTTAGTTTCCACTATAAATTAGTCAATTGCAGAACTAGAATTTTCTAGCTTATTGAAATGAAAGTAACTCATAACTGCCAGATCTGTGTTCTTTCTCAATTCGGGTCCTTCTAACCTGTTTTGTAACACTGCGAAAATTTATTTTCAAAAACCTCGTGAATTAATTAAATCAAAGATTCTAAATTTCCTATATTAGTACTAAACAGGCTGGATTCTATTTAGCCCAATGAATATTATGACGAGTCGAGCCCGTATTGAAATGTCGAGCATAATCTAAACGGAGAATTTTGTCAATAAAAATTTTCAAGTATACCCATGTAATTGACAATTTAATTGTTATATACATATATATATATATATTAGGAAAAATTAGTATTTTATTCTTATGTTTTGCCAAAATTAACTAGCGTATCTTGTATTTTGAATATTACATTAAAATTTTCTTGTTCTTTTACCTTGGTTAAGCTCTCATATCCTCCTGTCTAATTTCTATATTTTTTCCGTGAATTTTTCTATTAAAAGATGAGAATGCCCTATCCATTCTTGATTCCTGTGTATGCTGCTGTCGCTGATTTTCTGTTCTATATAGTGTTGTTAGCAAGTTATATACATTATACAGTATAATAATTTCCTTGTATGTAATATTGATACATATATGAATTTTTTTATTTTTTTTTGAACTGGTATTTGTCATTTGTGTTGAATTTGCTCTTGTACGCAATTAAATGAATAGATTCAGTTTTAGTTTTTGAATTCACAGAGTTGATAGCTTCTCGGCTTCTCTTACGCATATAGAACAAATTATTTTGGATAAGATAGAAAGAAAACCGACAGTGAAAGAAATGGAGAAGAAGACTAATGCATCATTGTTTTCGAATATGCAAATCTTAAATATAAATGTCAAATGTTCCTCGAGCTCAACTCTCCAATTTTAGTTTGTTGCTTGCATAGGAGGAACCCCCAGTGCCCATCGTTGTTTGTCCACTCGCTCTAGTTCTTTGCCAACAGTCGCCGAGGATGGATCACAACTTGCTCCCTCCAAATTGGTGGCTCGTTACCTTATTCTTCCTCCAAATAGGAAAATTAACGGAAAAAGTATAGAAATTAGACAGAAGTGTATGAGAGTTTAACGGAGGCAAAACATAAGAAAGTTTTAGTGTAAAATTTAAAATATGAGGTACACTAGTTAATTTTGGCAAAACATAAAAATAAAATCGTAATTTTCCCTATATATTATTATACTGTAACTATAGTTATTATTTAATATTATTATTAGTACCGAAACAAACCCATAAAAAAAATAACTAAAATTTGGCCAGTTCTTTTAATAATAAATACTACGTACTTAATTTTTTATATCAATTACAGCCTCCGCGTCTTCCATCAATTTCATGCTAATGTGACAGTTATCTCTCATAAGTAAGTCCTACAACATTCAATATTAACGACAAGTCATATATTCACATATACTAAAGAAAAAATTCTGAACTTTAACGTTTTTATTAAATTTGAACAGTTCTTTTAATTTTATCAATGAATACTGCCCACTAATTAATCTTTATCAAATGATTTTGTTATATTAATATTTATTTAATTAAATAGTTTATTAATTAACTATGTATATTATGTATATAATGGGATTAATCAATTAGAATTCAATTTTAGTAAAAAGTTTTTTAAAAACATTATTTTTAAATATACTAATTAATATAGAATTTCACTTTTCAAAACTTATTTTTCTATATTGATTAATACCGTTTCCAGGATGAGATCAAAGAAGTCTTTGAAAATCACTGTAAGAAGATATCTACTGGTTATACCCTTCAAGAATATGATTTTTTTCAAGTTGCCCTTTGCTTTTGATTGTCAAGAGAGCAAGTATATTGATTGGTATATTTAAAAGACTTTTCAAGAAAATTGAATTCTAATTGATTAATCCTATTATACACTTAATATATATAATTAATTAATAAATTATTTAATTGAATAAATATAAATATAATAAAATTATTTGACAGAGATTAATTAGTGAGCAGTGATTAATAAAATTAAAAGAGGGCCATTTTTAATAAAAACGTTAAAAATTTAAGCTTTTTTTAGTACAAGCGGATGTATAATTTGATGTTGAGATCGGATGTTGTAAGGCACGTTTGTGAGAGATAACTGCCACGTTAACATGAAATTGATGGAAAACAAACAGATGATCTCAGCCTTTCCTCCATGCCGGCCAAGGCACGGCGAGTTCCCAACCTTCGGACACAACTAGCAGCATTTTTCCCTTGAGCTGGTCGCCCTTCTTTGCCGCTCAAATCACCGTCGCGCTGGTAGGAGAGGGTGCCGGACAACTTGATTTCGGTATCTTCACATCATCTCCGGCGGGTTTGGTGGAGGAGGTGAGTCGAAATCACCTCTTATTGTGTTTAAATTATTTGTCTTCAATTAATTCGTGCTTAAATGTGGGATTTGCGATTAAGGTCCTAGGTTTTGATATTTGATAGAAATTAGGGGATTGATTTAAATTGTTAAATTGAAGCTAAATTAAGCTTCCTCACTGACTTCGGAATATTTTGGCTATATATTTGCTATTTTTGGCGAAGATGGATATCAGCTGCCACCGTAAACTGTGGCGTCGATGGCGGCTCCGGTGACCGGATTTCCTGGGGGCAGAATGTTGCACCTCTTATATAGGTTCTCAATATCCAATTAGTTTGGTGATTCCACACTGTTAGATACTTGAACTGATAATCAATGCAAATCCGATAAATAGGCTTAGAAGCCAAAAACTCCTAGAAATCTATAGAACGAGATTGATTACGAACTTAAAGAGGTTTATATAACTAGTCAGTCAAGTAATTATTATTCTAAGTTAATTGGAACCAATTAATTATTAGAAACTGGTTGTAAGCACCGTGTTGTATCTACTAAGTGAAATCTTGACCATTATTGTGACTTAAGAAGTTTAGTTTATAAACATATAAAACCTTTTAACTTAGTGCCTTTAAAGTAAACAGTGAGTTTAATAACCGGTAGTTTGCTACCTAATAGCTAAGTTATATTGGATACACTCAAGACATGAATTATTTTTATTAGCTTATTTTGTTAACACGATTTAAAGCTAATCAAAGTCATAGTTATGTAATGTGAAACCTTTGGTATTGTTGATTTCGAATACGGATAAGGATATGAAAAAATTCGTGTGTTATGTTTAATATTGGGTAAGAATATTAATAAATTGGGATTTTGATGTATTGCTATTGAATTTTCTATTACCAAAAGAAAAAGGGCGATGTATGATTAATAATAATGATGAATTGTAAAAAATGGCGGATGGATCAGTTGTTGTGAGTTGCCTAAAGGATGTGCTTTGAAACTTTAATTATTGAATGATGATTTTTAAACATGTGGTTAAGTCCAAGTCATAGGGGGAGATTCTGTCGGATTTCTGACCGAATCTCCGTATGTGAAGTCTAGGTAATAATAAACAAGTTATTTGGATTGATTCTAGTATTAATAAGAATTCTCCTCTGTTTCTGTTAATCTCCTTCTAGATTGGTCAAGGCTTTTCTCAACTCCAAAGCAAGGATTGACACTGAGGCTATACTTTCTTTATAAACTGTGAGTAAGAATGTATAATACTTTACCAAGCTCACATAAACAAGTGCTTAGTTGTTCATTCTTGTTGACTCTCCTGCCGCTTTTGTATTGATGACACCACAGCTTGGAGGATGAAAATCATGCTCCCATTTGCCTTTTCTGCATGAACTAAATAAGGCAACTTTACCTGCTTCTGTATCTAATTTACCGTGCCACCTAGTTAATTTTAGGAACTTCATTGTTCTTAAAGTTCATTTTAGCTGATTATGCTTGCTGTTGTAATGTATCATAGAATAACAATGTAATTTCAGGCCTTTTTACATAATTTTTCTTTGTATTCTTTGCTTGTCTTGCAGAGAAGGATTGTTTATTTATTACAATACACTAATCAGGATGATGTCACTGCCATTCAAATTGGTTTTATTGCTGTCCTTGCTTTCTTTAAATTTGATCCCTTCACACTCAGCTGTAGTGAGCATAGATCTAGGCTCAGAATGGATGAAAGTAGCTGTTGTGAACCTAAAACCGGGGCAGTCCCCAATTTCCATTGCAATCAATGAGATGTCAAAGAGGAAATCCCCAGAGCCAAGAAATGATATTCAATTGATGTTTTTTTCCACTGCTGTGATAATTGATTAGTTGAGATAAAACAATATTATAATTCAATAGAGCCAATAAATGATATTCAATTGATTTTTTTTTTTTTTTTACTTTAGATTTGTTCCCATTTGTAAGAATTAAACTTTTAGAGTATTTGAATACTTTGCTATTATATTCTGGTAAAGGTAACATATAGTATTGGGTTTAGAAATCTGCTTTTGAAGCTGAAGTGGATTCAGATATTTTTATCTGTGTAATTTACTTTTACAAGGTAATTTATCTTGTGGAGGTGCCGTTCATGCTTTTCTGAATAGCCAGCACTCAGGTTGGCTTGATGGAAATAACTATTAACTTGTTATCAATCTGTTTTTGTTGGAGATTTAATTTTGACATTAATTTTGTAGTTTGATGGCGATTAGCAGTTTTGTAAGTGACAGTCTCGCCATTGGATGAAGTTATGTAGTTGTGTATTGTGTTTTTTATGTAGTTATCTTGCTAATCTTATTTAAGAAGTTATAGTGATAAGGTTGACAAATCTAATTTATTCTCTTTGATCACTTAAAACATGAGTTGAGTAATTTGCTGGCATCTAAACTAATTTGATTATTTTAATTGTAATTTGGGCTTCCCCATGATGATTTTTATCATATGTAATAAACTTTTTAATTAGCTCTAATAGATTAGCAAAAGTAAGGTGATTATTTTTAAAATCTTAAGTGATTAACTGATTATATGAGCAAATTCTTGAAATTCTATATCATACTTGCTGGACTTAAATTTGATCATCAGATCAATTTGGAATTTGACTGACTGCTCTAATGATGTTTCACTTCACTAATTGTTATTATTCTCTCCTTCAATAATTGTTATTATTCTCTCCTTCAATAATTTTGTTATTATTCTCTCCTTCAATAATTGTTATTATTCTCTCCTTCAATAATTGGTTTTTAGCAATAGGATTTTTTCATATGTTTTTGTTGTAATTATTATTTATAGCTTAATAACTAGTTTTTTCTTTTAAGACATCAATTAAAATAAAAAAAATTTAAAAAATATGGGAAAAAATAATTTAAAAAATAAAAATAAAAATTTAAGATAAAAAATGAATAATTTAAAAAATATAAATAATAATTCATATAGGAAAACACAAATAAAAATGTGGAAAAAAATTTGGGGGGGGGGTAAAATTTGAAAACATTATCCATCTTCTAGAGATAGAAATAGTTTTCAAATTTTATTACAAATGGAATTCTAGTTTCCTTTTTTTTTTTTTTTTTTTTTTTTTTTTTTCTAAATCTTCCATCTCCATGGATAATGGAAAATGAAAAACAGAACAGGGTTTTCTACAAATCAACACCATCATAAAAGTTTTCCTTTTCTTCTTCACACGCGATCACCAAAGAAAATTTTAATCCAAATCTCTCTTCTACACCAACATTTTGAATGCTGGACAGGTAAACAAGTGCTTAATTGTTTATTCTTGTTGACTCTCCTGCCTGCTTTTGTATTGATGATGCCATAGCTTGCAGGATGAAAATCATTCTCCCATTTGCCTTTTCTGCATGAACTAAAAACTAATGAGGCATACTTTTAGCTGCTTCTGTAAGTCTAATTTACCGTGCCCCTAGTTAATTTTGGGAACTTCATTGTTCATTAAGAGTTCATTTTAGCTTGATTTATGCTTTGCAGTTTAAATGTATATCTAGGATGTAATTTCAGCCTTTTTTAAAATAGTTTTTCTTTTCCTTGCCTTGTCTGCAGAGACGGTTGTTTATTTATTAAATACAACTGATCAGATGAATGTCACCCATTCAGATTGTTTTTATTGCTGTCCTTGCTTTCTTTAAAATTTAATCCCTTCACACACTCGAGCTGGTAGTGAGCATAGATCTAGGCCAACAGAATTGGATGAAAGTAGCTGTTGTGAACCTAAAACCGGGGCAGTCCCCAATTTCCATTGCAATCAATGAGATGTCAAAGAGGAAATCCCCAGGCTTAGTTGCATTCCATTCCGGTACCCGTCTTCTGGGTGAAGAAGCTGCTGGAATCACTGCTCGTTACCCTGGCAAAGTCTATTCCCAACTCCGTGACATGATTGGGAAACCTTACAAGCATGTCAAGGCCTATTTAGAGTCAATGTACTTGCCATTTGATATTGTGGAAGATTCTAGAGGCTCTGTGGGTGTGAAAATTGATGACGATGTCACAGTGTATTCAGTTGAGGAGTTTGAGGAGTTGGTGGCCATGATTTTGAGTTATGCAATGCATCTGGCAGAGTTTCATTCGAAGGTGACAGTGAAGGATGCGGTCATCAGTGTGCCACCATATTTTGGGCAGGCAGAGAGGAGGGGGATGATTCAGGCTGCCCAGTTGGCTGGGATTAATGTGCTTTCCCTGATTAATGAGCATTCAGGTGCAGCTTTACAGTATGGGATTGATAAAGATTTTTCTAATGGGTCTAGGTATGTTGTATTCTATGACATGGGTGCAAGTAGCACTTATGCCGCACTTGTGTATTACTCGGCTTATAGTGGCAAGGAGTTTGGGAAGACTGTTTCCATTAACCAATTTCAGGTGCGCTTCCATTTAGCAATATCTATTGGCATTTGGTGTATTATCACAAGAATATACTTTCTGTAGTCCAGTAGTACACCTTTGTATATGTCATGTATCCTTTTATCTTTGGTTCCTATATAGAAACAGGATTATTGAATTTAGGATATTATAACACAACGGGAAGGGTGAGAAAATGGGAGAGAATGGAAGAAAATCTACTAACATAATATAGGGACAAAGTGGAAATTTAACCCTAGAATGTCTTTGCTTAAAAATTAGAAATATGGTTTATGAATGGCGAAAAAATTAAATTTTTTTTGCTGGTTGCAAATCTATGACATTAATCTTAATATTGAAAAAGCACCAGCGATCTTATTAGATTAAAATTATTCTTTCACATTCTAATATGATTTGCTCTTGTTAGATTTTGTGGCTACTTTCTTCCAACTTTATTTCAGTGTTATTTTCCCTAATTTTCTTTTAATATAGTTTTGGGGTCTATCCTTCTCTCTCTGTGTGTGTTTGTGTGTGTGTGTGTGTGTGTGTGTGTGTGTGTGTGTGTGTGTGTGTGTGGTAGACCTCTGCTATATCTAATTTAGGTTGGTAGATCCTCTGAGCTATAATCTAATTAATTAGGGTTTAAATTGAAACCTGAAAGTATCTTCATAACATAGTTTTCTTGTTACCCTTGTTAGTAAAGGTGTTTTTAATTTCGAGTCTCCACTGATTAGGAATGTCTTTGTTTGATTAATTTATGTCCAGGTTTATAGGATGTTCAGATGGGACGCAAGCAACTCGGAGGCCAAGTATGTGGAGAGCACGCGTCTTTATGTAGAGTTTTTACTCTGCAGATGCAAGTTAAATAAACAAGTCTTTGGAAATGGATTGAAATGGTCAGAAACTCCCTTAAGGCAATGGGCTAAATTGAAGAAAAGCCAGCGTGTAAACGCACTAAAGAAGATCTTGAGATGCAAATACAGTCGCTCCAGATATCAGTTGAATCTTTATATGATGATCGAGACTTCCAGTCGATTATATCGTTTGGAGTCTTAGGATATTACTTAAACATAGTATTGCCAGGCTTATTTATAAGGGTTATATGCTACTAAGTGTATGCGCCTTTGCATGGCCCTATGAGAGCCCTGCCTGGGTGGCGTTAATTTTGTAATTCGTTTTAGTCCCTTTAGCTAGTTGCTCTCTGCGACTAGTAATTGAATTGTGTTTCTTAACATTGGATATAATTGTGCCTTACCACAACATTTGTAGGCATTCGTGCATTGTGTTGTATAGTGAGGAAGTTTAATGTGTTTTGGGGAGTGTGTGTGTGTGTGTGTGTGTGTGTGTGTGTGTGTGTGTGTGTGTGTGGTAGACCTCTGCTATATCTAATTTAGGTTTTTAATTGAAACCTGAAATATCTTCTACATAGTTTCTTGTTCTCCTTGTTATTGGGTTTTTATTTCAGTCTGATAGGATTCTTGTTTGCTTAATTTATGTCCAGGTTAAGGATGTCAGATGGGACGCACAACTCGGAGGCCAAGATATGGAAGCACGGCTAGTAGAGTTTTTCGCAGATGAGTTTAATAAACAAGTTGGAAATGGGATTGATGTGAGAAACTCTCCTAAGGCAATGGCTAAATTGAAGAAACAGGTTAAACGCACTAAAGAAATCTTGAGTGCAAATACAGTCGCTCCAATATCAGTTGAATCTTTATATGATGATCGAGACTTCAGGTATGTTGAGTCTTAAGGATATGTACTTTACTATGTATGCCAGGCTTATTTATCAAGTTTATGCTTACTAAGTGTTGCGCCTTTATGGCCCTTGAGCCACTGCTGGGGTGCTTATTTGTAAGTTTGTCCCCTTTAGTATTGCTTCTGGCCTATAATTTGAATTTGTTTCTTTAAATTGGGATATAATTGTGCCTTACCACAACTATTTTAGGCATTCTGCATTGTGTTGTATAGTGAGAAGTTAATGGTTTTGGATAGAATTTCAAGTGTGGAAACCATTGCCCACACCAAGTTCATTTTGAAGAATTGGGTGCTTACCTGAAAAAGATAGTATAGTTTCAGTTGTAAGATATGAAATGTGATAAATGTGTGGCACTTCTGTATTTTCAGAACCATTATATTGGCTTTCATGTCCACAGTATAATTAGCATGCTGAGGATTCTCAACATCCATGGTAATGCCTTTTAATTTGCTCTTGGTGAGAAGAATTTCAAGCAGAAAAGAATCTTACTCTTATAACTCCTAAATCTTATATTTGAAACGGCTATTTCTGGTTAAGGAATTTCATGCTTCAGTGATTTCCTTGCTCAATAATTCAGTGTTAATATAAGAAACCTGACTTGTTTAACAAAAAGTTATAGTCATGAAGGAGCATCCTTGAGTCCAAGGGTATTAAGTTAAGCAGAACTAAAACTGCATTTCAATTTAGTAATGGAAGGCTTGATGGTATAGAGGTCCCACAATGCAGATGTTTTAGATACATTGGCTCTATTATATAAAGGGTAAAGGGTAAGAATGGATACTGGAAGTGAGGAGGATTTAACCGTAGGATTAAAGCAGGAGTTCTATAAGATCACAAAAGACCAGCCATTTTGAAGCTGAAGCTTCTATTGGATCATTATTTGGTCAGATAAACTGGTGGAAAAATAATCTGTATATAAGATTAGCATTAGAAAACAAATCGAGGTGCTAAGATGGATATGTGGAAATATGTGGATGGACCAGATAAAGAATGGACACATTTTATAAGCAGGTAGAAGTGGCACCCAATGAGGAAGGGAAATACATTGATATGACTTGGGCATGTGCATGTCAGACTAGCAAAAACACCAGAAGGAAAGCTTGAGGGCATTAAAGTTATTGCAGATAAGAAAAACAAGGGAAAGACTGGAGATGACACAGGGACTAATATGCATCAGATCTTTCTCAATATGTAATTTTGAATTCGATTGAATGGAGGAAAATGGAACTGTATAGCTGACCTCAACTAGCTTGGGTTTGGTTAAGTTGATTTCCCTATGCAAATTCATCTAAAGTTCTAAACCATAAAAATATAGCATTGTTTTTCATGCTGTCAAGAGGGTAGCATTAGGTGCATAACACTTGTGTTTTAGGTTTTCTGAAGTGTAGCCTGCATCCTGCAAGACAAGTAAAGTGTGAAGTGTTTTTTAATTTTGCATGTTTTCTTTTATCATAGATGTGGATAATGATAAGTTTCTTGGTTTTCTCCTATACAAACAAATGGAATTGGGAGTCACTTGCAATTTCCTCCTTGTGATCATTAAAAAGATATGGAATTCAACAAGCAACAAGGTCATTAGGATGCTTGGTACCTATGGTTATCAGTTATGCATTTAATTACTTCATGCTCCATAACTATATATATATATATATATATATATATTGGGTTGGATTGCATAATGAGATTTCAAATATCTGTTGTTGCCCAAGTAGCAGTTGCCCTAAGTAAATAAGTTCATGTGAATATAAATGTTAATCTTGATGTATTTATTTGTTTATTTACCAGGAGTACGATAACACGTGATAAATTTGAAGAGCTGTGTGAAGATTTATGGGATAGATCTCTTACACCTCTCAAAGAAGTGCTCAAACATACGGGGTTGAAGGTGGATGAAATATATGCAGTAGAGCTTATAGGTGGTGCTATCAGAGTGCCAAAGTTGCAGGTTGGTACTACTTTATCAGTTCTGACGTGTGCTAGAAAAAAAACTGATTAAACTTCACATCAACAGTTAGATCAAACTTTTATAATTAGAATTCAAGCAATGTCACAATATTGCACATTCATATTGTGTAGAAAACAGAATAACTGCCATCTATTTTGTCTTTTATGGGTCATATTGGTACATTTTGCTTTATGTAGATGAAATTTCAGCCAGTAACAAATCATATTTCTATCATTTAATCATTCTTGCCTTTGCTCTTGCTCTTTTGAATTTTTTTTGAGGGTCTTGGAGATTCAATTTGTTGAATTCAAAATTAATCTGTTGTTAAGTTTTTGAAAGGATCTCTAAAGGAAGAGACAGGTAAATAAATATAAAGCTTGGATGGCTGTAATCAAAACAATAGGAAGAGAATATATAAGGGTCATTTTTGCTCAAGGACATGATTTCATTGATTTTAAATAGCTTCCTTATTTGTTTCTGTTTTGCAGTTACTACCCATGTACACATTACATAAATTAACCAATAACCTTATGTGTTAGAATGTATTCCAGACATAAAACATATTGTTGTGAGTTATAGAATTGATTTTTCAAGTAACTTGAGATAAATTCTGCGAGTATCATTTATTTAGCATCAATAACATATGGTCTGAATAAATACAATACTACACCCTGGAATCCTCGAAATCAGTTTATATTCTGTTCAACATATCAAGAAAAGAGATTGTTGAAAATATTGTTACCAGCACCAACTTGTCTAATATAATATGGAAGACAATTTTTTCATGGATTTTTCTTGGAGTAATGTAGATAATGATCATGCAGTCGAACCCTGTCATTGTTTCCTAGAATAGGTTTCTAGAGCATGTTCACATTTGCAGTTCTTTTTTTATCTCTTCCCATTCTGCCTTTGTCTGATGAATATTTTGTAAAACTAGATCAAGAAGATTTAATATCATATATAAATTGCAGAAACATGCTCCTTTCAAATCAATATCATCTTAAATAATTGTGGGCATAACATTTATGCTTTGTAATTGTCGATATAAAGATGCATGGTAATATTTCATGCACTATCCATAATTGGAATGAATCCTGTTCAACTGCCTGATTTGGAGATAGCCTGGCATGCATGTTGTTTACCAATTCAAAACATGATCCTGCAAAAATTATATGAACTCTGTTAATGATTTTCATCAGTTCATGGAGGGAGCATATAACTTTCTGATTTTCCTAATGACAGGCTAAGCTCCAGGAATTTCTTGGAAAAAATGAACTGGACAAACATCTGGATGCTGATGAGGCTATAGTTCTAGGCTCTGCACTGCATGCTGCAAATCTAAGTGATGGGATCAAATTGAATCGTAAGCTAGGAATGGTTGATGGTTCTTCTTATGGATTTGTCGTTGAGTTAGATGGACCTAATCTTCTGAAAGACGAGAGCACTAGGCAGTTGCTTGTGCCAAGGATGAAAAAGCTTCCCAGTAAGGTAAATAGGATTGTTATATGTTTATTGTGTTTGAAGGAAATGATGTGAATATAATTCATGTGCTTGAGGTCAACATGTTCGTATGGGGAAAAAGGAAACCATTTAATATTTTCAACATTATCAACTTTGCTTTCTATATTTTCTGATCGCATGATTTTGATAATTGCAGATTTTCAGATCCATTATCCATGACAAAGATTTTGATGTTTTGCTTGCTTACGAGACTGAAGATCTTTTACCTCCTGGTACCGTCTCTGCCATATTTGCAAAGTATGCTGTTTCTGGTCTGACAGATGCAAGTGAGAAGTAAGGATAATGATCCTCTAAATGATGTACATGCTTACCATGCTTTTTTTTTAATCATTCCAAAATTTGTTTTCCATGCAAAAAATTGTGATGTAATTTTCTCATCTTTATTCCTTGTGCTGTCTAGATATTCATCTCGAAATCTGTCCTCTCCCATCAAGGCAAATCTGCACTTCTCTCTCAGTCGAAGTGGAATTCTTTCTCTGGATCGAGCAGATGCTGTTATTGAAATATCAGAATGGGTGGAAGTCCCTAAAAAGAATCTGACTGTAGATAATACAACTGCTACCTCTCCCAACATATCAGTTGAAACTGGGGCCAAAAATGTTTCAGAGGAAAGCGGTGAAAACTTGCAATCTAATGGTGGCATCAACAATGCAAGCAACTCTAATGTTGAAGAGCCAAGTGCCATTGAGCCGGATAGAGAAAAAAAGCTGAAAAAGAAGACATTCAGGGTTGCACTGAAGGTGCAAATATGCTAATGACCTCAAGACTTTATGTTCCGTACCTGGTAGAAACTTTCCTGACTGGTTTATCGCTTTCAATTTTTTTTTCCTATTTTGTAGGTTGTGGAGAAAACGTCGGGACCTGGAATGCCTCTTTCAGGAGAATCTTTTGCTGAGGCCATAACTAAATTAGAAATATTGGACAAAAAGGATGCTGAGCGAAGGAGGACTGCTGAATTGAAAAACAACTTGGAAGGATACATATATTCTACCAAAGAAAAGGTGTGAATACTTGAGTCAATGCCGCATCTCGACTATTAAAAAAATCAAAGTATTTATGCATCTGGTGTTAATATAGTTTTAAGTTTCTTGAATTTACTTGATGTATCTTCCATTGTTTGTCTATGAAGATTTACTCTCTATATTATACACTGCCAATCTTATGTGTGATGTACCTTAAAATAGGCTTTGTGTATTAATCTTGATATACTAAAACAAATTAAGTTTTTGTTTTACTTGATTTTTTTCAATATTGTTAACTAGCTTTATATTTCCTTTAGTTTTGTTTTTTGACTGATTTTTATTTTGGCTATTTCAGCTTGAAACATCTGAGGAGTTTGAGAAAATATGTTCTGATGAAGAACGCAAATCTTTCATTGAAAAGCTTGATGAGGTTAGCCTTTCCTTCCTTCTTCCTTCTCTCCTCTTTTCCTTATTCTAAACTTTTTTCTTACTTGTCATTTTTTCTAGTGGTTTCTGTATGTTATACATGATGGTTGTTAGTATGAAAAATATAATTTTTTAAATGATGTTAGACTCTAGTATCAGTAATCAGTAACAAAAATCAAAATGAGCAAACATGTAGTTACACAACATTGAGGACTAGGAATCCTCTTTTATAACACAGAAGACACTACAAAAATGAATATAAAACAATCTAACTGAGTAATGTACAATTATATTAGGAGTCCTCTTTTATAACTCAGAAGACACTACAAAAAAGAATATAAAACAAGCTAACTCAGTAATGTACGATTATATTATGTAAAATTTCAATCAGTGTACTAAACAAAAGTTCATTGGGTAAGATTCTAATTCTTAATTTTGTTGAATGGCTCTGGCAATTCTAGCTAAACACACTCCAACTTTTATCTTCTCCATATACTCCCATGAACATTAACATTGATGTTTTGTTAGTAATTATTTGTTGATATTTAATTTGGAACACAAAATCTAGTACAACAAGTTTTGGGTAATACTTGCTCTTCAATGCAAAGATTTTTAATCTAAAGATGGTTCTTGTTTGAGAGAGATGGAGAAAGAGAGAGAGAGGCAGATTTTATTTTACTTAAGTATTCCATATTAATTGGGTAAGTTATAGATTTGGTCACTGAAGTTTGACCCAGATTCTAATGAGGTACTGATGTTTAGTTTTTCTCACTTTAATGTCTGTGTTGCAGCCATTTGACTTGCATTTGCAAAATTAACATCTTGGATTTTTCAGGTACAAGAATGGTTATATACTGATGGTGAAGATGCTACTGCCACTGAGTTTCAGGATCGTCTAGATTCATTAAAAACTATTGGTGACCCTATATTTTTCAGGTATGAATTAATTTAAGTAAGGTCTAAACCTCCAGCGGATGAGCACGTCTTCTTTAGGTTAATACTGATGGTGAAGATGCTTACTGCCACTGAGTTTCAGGATGCGTCAGATTCATTTAAAAACAGCCATTTGACTTGCATTTGCAAAATTAACATCTTGGATTTTTCAGGTACAAGAATGGTTATATACTGATGGTGAAGATGCTACTGCCACTGAGTTTCAGGATCGTCTAGATTCATTAAAAACTATTGGTGACCCTATATTTTTCAGGTATGAATTAATTTAAGTAAGGTCTAAACCTCCAGCGGATGAGCACGTCTTCTTTAGTAGGTGTATTATCACATTATTAGCTTGTGTACTTAAATTCAGTGTTCCAGCCATGGTCTTGAATATCGGCTTTTCTTTAGTGTATCCTGTATCATAATGGGATTTTAGCGCAGCATTGCATTATTTCTGTTTCTCTATGGATGATTGATCAATTACTCCAAAGCAGTTGACAAAACATAAAAATTGTCTGTTTATTTTATAAAATTTTAATTTATGTTATTGTTTACTTGATATCTTGTATTGTTTTATTAATTCTCTTTTCAAACTTTGAGTTCATTGTTGATTGGAGTGAATGGTCTTAAAATATTTCACAGCTGCAGTGGCCAATTCATGCTGATTCAGTTTGATTCTGGCCAATTTGATGACTCAATTTTTGTTCCGTTACTGTTTCGAGTTCTGTAATTTAAACCCCTGATCCCAGCTGACAGATATTCTGGTGCAGGTATAAAGAGCTTACTGCGAGGCCAGCAGCAGCTGAACTTGCTTTAAAGTACCTCGGAGAGCTGCAACAGGTGATGAAAGTTCAAATGATTTAATTCAAACAAATTACTAGGTGTTTAGGGGAAAACCACATGCTTACAACAGTTCAAGTAACATATTGATATTATGTTATTGCTGGATTGGTTTGACGAAAAATGTGAAATCAGGAATAAGCTATGACAAAATCAAACTACTGTTTTTGCACTAAATGGAACCAGTATATCATGAGCATTAAGATCAAAATTTAAATGAACAGCATGAAGTATATAACAAAGGTAGCATGTGCTTTTGATATGAAGCTTGAATTGTTTTTCCACTGGACCTTTGCATGTATCATGTGTTTTTGATATGATGCTTGAATTGTTTTTCCACTGGACCCTTGCATGTATCATGTGTTTGTTACAGTGTGTTTGTTAAAGATCTCTTCGTTTTTGATTGATATCTAATGAGTGTTGCTGGCTAGTGGTTCTTTCCATTTGGACAACTTGTCGATGCAATTTACCTGCTGACTATTTCAAATTGTCTTGGCTTATATAACAATGAGTGAGTGTAAATTGCACTGTGGAAAAAATATTTTTGTCATAATATTGTTTCATCAATAGTGGACAACACTGTTTATCATATACAAGATACTATAAACCAATTAGGAATCTAACTCCTAACAGAACTCTATTTACAACTAGTTCTTAACACTCCCCCTCAAGTAGTCCTTAACACTCCCCCTCAAGTTGGAGCATAGATGTTAATCATACCTAACTTGTTACAAAGATAGTTAACCCGAGGTCCATTTAGAGCTTTTGTAAAGATATCTCCTAACTGTTCACTTGTTTTAACGTACCCTGTGGAGATAACACCCTGTTGTATCTTTTCACGAATGAAATGACAATCAATCTCGATATATTTTGTCCGTTCATGGAATACTGGATTTGATGCAATGTGAAGAGTAGCTTGATTATCACACCATAACTTTGCAGGCAAAGACGACTTGAAGCCAATTTCCTTTAACAACTTGTGCATCCAAATTATTTCACAAGCAGATTGTGTCATAGCTCGATATTTTGATTCAGCACTCGATCATGAGACTACATTTTGTTTCTTGCTCCTCCACGATATCAAGTTTCCACCCACAAAGACACAATATCCTGAAGTTGATCTTTGAAGTTGATCTTCTATAAACCTTCAAACCTGCCCAATCCGTATCTGAAAAACACTCAATGTCCAAATGCCCATGATTACTGTAGAGAAGGCCACGACCTGGGTTACCTTTCAAGTAGCACAAAATCTGTCCTAAAGCTTCCCAATGGATAACAGCAGGAGAAGATATAAATTGGCTTAAGACGCTCACAGAGTAAGCAATATATCTGGACGTGTTAACCGTAAGAATAACGGCAAGTTTTGCTCACCAAATCTTCTATTTACATCTCAGGATCATCAAATAGCTCAACCATCAAATTGAAAGTTGCAACGTTAAGGAAGTCCATTGGAGCACTGCATGTTTGTCACCACTTTCCAGTTCCTTTTAGTCAAGTCAAGAGACAATACTTCTCTTTGAGATAAGAAAGATGCCTCTCTTACACCTAGACACTTCAAATACCCAAAAAATATTCAACAATCCTAAGTCTTTGTCTAGAACTGAGTCTGGAGGAATTACTTGAGTGATGTAATGCCTGCTGAATCACTCCCTATAAAACATGTTCATCAACATACAAGTAGAATCAAACCAGTCTTAGTACTTCTGAAAAATACAGAATGATCAGAAGTACTCTTCTGCATGCCAAATTGGTGTACCACATTGCAAAATCTAACAAACCAAGCTCGAGGACTCTGTTTTAGGCCATAAAGAGATTTTCGAAATTTACACACTTTACCCAACTCCCCCTGAGCAACAAAGTCTGGTGGTTGCTCTATGTAAACTTCCTGTGGTTGCTCCATGTAAACTTCCTCCTAAAGATCCCCATGAAGAAAGGCATTCTTAACGTCCAGCTGATGTAAAGGCCAGTCAAAAGTAGCTGCTAAAGAAATAAACAAGCGAACAAAAGACAATTTGGCCACAGGAGAAAAAGTATCAGAGTAATCAAGGCCATAAATCTGAGAATAGCCCTTAGCAACTAATCAAGCCTTAAGACGGGCAACAGATCCATCAGGATTCATTTTAACTTTGACCATTTACAACCAATAGCTTTCTTACCTGTCGGGAGAGGCACAAGATCCCAAGAACCATCGGGAGAGACACAAGATCCCAAGTACCATTAGTATCTAAGGCAGCCATCTCCTCTTTCATTGCTGCACACCAACCAGGATGAGACAAAGCTTGGACAATAATTTTAGGGTTGGAGACAGAGTCTAGGTTACTTACAAAATAACGAGATGAAGGAGAAAGATGATCATAACTAATAAAAGAAGAAATAGGATAGGTACACTTGCCTTTACCTTTTCGAAGAGCAATGGGTAGGTCAAGGTCTGACTGAGGAGTAGATGGCATAGGCTTAGGTTGAATGGAGGGAACCGGATCTTCTGTTGAAGGGGTAGGTGGGGGAAGTGAGTCAAGAGTTCCTGGTCTCCTGGAATAAACCTGTTCAAAATGAGGGCAGGCAGATGCTGGTGCAGGAGGGGGAATAGGAGGAGCAGACGTAGGAGGAGCAGAACGATGTAGCAGGAGTAGTGCAAGTTCAGGAATAGGAGCAGGAGAGCTAGGAAAATTGCTGGAATAGCGTAAAGACTAAAAGCTTAGACTAAAAGCTCATCATCCTCCCCCTCACTCTTATATATAGGAGAAGGAAAAAATGGAGTAGCCTCAAAAAATGTGACATCTACAGAAATAAGATAACGGTCAAGCTCAGGAGAGAAACAACGATACCCTTTTTTTGATGCCGAGAATACCTAAGGAAAACAAAACGAAGGGATTTTGGATCTAATTTGGAAACTTATGGACGAACATCACGAACAAAACAAGTACAATAAAAAATATGAGGTTCAATAGAAAATAGAAGTTTAGAAGGAAACAAGACAATATAAGGAATTGCACCATTAAGCACAGAAGAAGACATGCGATTAATCAAAAAACATGCAGTAGAGACAGCATCTGCCTAAAAATGTTTAGGAACCTTCATTTGAAATAGAAGTGCCTTAGCAACCTTAAGAAGATGTTGATTTTTTCTTTTTGTAACCCCATTTTGAGAAGGTGTATCAACACAAGATGTTTGACGAAGAATACCATTCTGTGACATATAAGATTGAAAGGAACTAGATAGATATTCTTTAGCATTATCACTTTGCAATATGCGAACAAAAGTATTAAATTGAGTTTTAATCTCAGCACAAAAGGAATAGAAAATAGAGAATATCTCAGAATGAGTTTTCATTAAAAATAACCAAGCATTAAAAATAACCAAATAACAACGAGAATAATCGTCACAAAGTTACGAAATACCGAAAGATAGTTTTTAGAAAATAAACAAGAATGGACGCCCAAACATTCAGAATGAACTAATTCAAAAGGGGATGAAACCCGTTTTATTTGGAACTCGAGAACTAAAGGTATTCGGTGATGTTTGGCAAATTGACAAGATTGACATTCTAAAATCGATAAGATATTGAAATTGCGGACACAACTTCTTAAAGTAGTCCCCAACGAAGATGACCCAAAATGAAATGAACCTCAAGAGGAGAGAGAAGCACCCAACACAAGCCAGAGATGACGCCAGAGATGACGAAACTTGTTCATCCAGAAAATAAAGGCCAGCAGACTCACGTCCTCTACCAATAATTCGCTTCGTCAAAAGATCCTAAAACACACAATAGGTAAGATAAAATTTAACACAACAATTCAATAGATTAGTAATTTTACTAACAGATAATAGATTGAACGAAAAACGAGACAAACAAAAAACAGAAGACAACGAAAGAGATGGGATGGGATTGGCGGTGCCAATATACTTGACAGAAGATGTGGACCCATTAGCTAGAGTAACATGGCGATTATTAAATTGTTCAGGTTCTTTTACTGAGGATAAGAGACTAGGGTTACCTGTCATATGATCTGTGCAACCAGAATCAATGACCCACTCTGATGAGGTAGACATAAGATATGTAGTAGGAGTACCTGAATTGGCGGCAGTAGCAATTGAGGAATCAATATACTTAGAAGAACGGTATCTAGAGAACTCAGCATACTCCGCAGCAAAAATTGTTACAGTGTTCTCAGAAGAAGTAACTGCAGAATCTTGAGTGGCCATATTTGCCTTTACAGTGTTCTCAGAAGAAGTAACTGCAGAATCTTGAGTGGCCATATTTGCCTTTGGCGGCTTATTTATCAGTTTCTTACAATACCGTTTAGTGTGATCAAGTTCATGGCAATAATGGCAGATAAGAATGCTCGTCTCCCGATTAATTGCTCCATTACTATGGTTATTTCCTCCTCTTCCTTTGTTTCCTGGCTGCCTAACAATCTGATTACGACTCACAAAGGCACTATTATCACAAGGGGAAGGGGTATGAGAACCTTCAGTACGTAGTAATCTAGTGAAAGTCTCCTGAAGAGAGGTAATGTCACTGCTTGAAAGAACCTGTGATTTGGCAGTTTTAAAAACTGGAGCAAGACCTGCAAGAAAACTCATTACAGCCATCTGTTCTCGTTGAGTCTGTTGAACCTTAACGTCGGGGCTAAAAGGCAATAAAATATTAAGTTCCTCGTAAATCTTCTTAAATTCCACGAAATAAGCTGTAAGGGGCTTATCTTGCTGATCAGCCCGATAAAATCATTTGCAGACCTCATACATACGAGACAGATAACTTTTTCCAAAATATAAAAATTCAAGATATTTCATTAATTTTTTAACAAACTCACAATGATTAATTAACCCAACTACTTCACTGTCAATAGAATTTTGAATAAGTAGAAATAACTTAGCATCTTCTCTTAGCCAACCTTGTCTAGTGTCACCGGTTGGTGGATCATCAATCAGATGATCATCTTTTTCAACACTCATCAAATAAATTCTAATTGTCTTACTCCAATCCAAATAATTAGATCCTTTCAGTTTATGTTTTGTGATTTTATTCATTGCTGGGATCAATTCAGTAATAGTAGCCTTAGAATCTGTAGGTTCAGTACCCATTAATAAAAACTAAACACCCCAACAGCAATCAAATAATAACACGAATCCAACCAAACAGTCGCAACACCAAAAGCAACCGAAAGCTGCAAAAAGCAGTAGCAAAAAAACAAAGATAGTGCCTACCAGATGTTGTCGGAGCCGAAAACTACTCTCTGGAAAAGAATCCTGACGTTGAGTCGATCCTGGAGGACGAAACTCGGTTGCCAGAAACTGTCAGACGTGCCCCCACTCACTGGAGCGTGAGACAACGTCAGATTCTTCTGACGGTGCGTGAGGCTCACTCGTCGGTCTTCAGGCCACCGGATTTGGTGGAGATGCCGATCGGAGGTCACTCTCCCTTCCTAGGGTGGCGGTGAGATAGACGCACAAGCCTAGGTGGGAGACCTAGACTGACAGTCGCAAAACAGTGATGTCTTGCCGGAAGCGTGGACGCAGCTTGAATTGTTTTTCCACTGGACCTTTGCATGTATCATGTGTTTTTGATATGATGCTTGAATTGTTTTTCCATTGGACCCTTGCATGTATCATGTGTTTGTTAAAGAATCTCTGTTTTTGACTGATATCATGTGTTTGCTGCTAGTGGTTCTTCCATTTGGCAACTTTTCTGCAATTTACTGTTGACTATTTGCGGATTGTCTTTGGTTATATATATGAGTTGCAGTAGCAGTTGCAGATGTCAATCAATGCACCTTTACTACCTATTCAGCCTTTTATAGATAGAAGTTTGCTTCATTTTATTACGACTGTTGTCTTCTCTACATGGCAGTTGTTAGGTTTTAAAAGCATGATTGACCCTTTTTCTTTATGTCACTGCAGATTGTGCAGGGCTGGGAGAAAAACAAACCTTGGCTTCCAAAGGATAAAATAGATGAGGTGCTTTTCACATATTGACCAACTCTGCCTCTTTATGATTTTTCTTTGAACTGTCAATGATTGAATAATGTCATATGATTTACATTTAAAATTTTGAATATTTGCTTTTGTAGGTTCTAAGTGATGCTGAGAAGCTAAAGAGTTGGCTGGATGAGAAGGAGGCTGAACAGAAGAAGTAAGATGTTTCCACTTCCCTTCAATTTTTGTTTTTGTTATTGGCTGTGGTTGCCACTCTGCTGCAAATATGGTTTGTATTTTTTAGTATAATTTCCTAAGTTTCTTCAAGTATTTGGCCATTTATATTAACTTATCTATATAATCATAGATTGATATATGTATATACGTATTTACAAGTTATAGTTCAAGTGTTAGGAAGCACATTGTGTATGTGAAGTGTTTATTTGCATATTCAGCAAGTATAACCTAGTGCTTTGCATTGTAGACTACAGAAAGTTCAACATGACTTAATATAAAAGATCAAAGGCTCTTAGGCTGTCTAGATTATTTATTATCTAGCATATTGTAGTGCTTTTCAACTATAATTGTGATTCAACCTATACTTGGTGATACCATAGTGGATGTGCTAAACAAACCCTAATCTTAATTTAAGTTTGTAAGGAGACTAACAAGTTATTGAAGGTTAAATATGACTAAAGAAGTTCCGTTATTGACAAGAATACCTAGCCAAGGTGGTTTGATTGAACGTATGGAGGTTGCTCTTATTCTGCTGTCCCATAATATCTGAAAGATAAACGCTAGTAAAATCAGATAACTAGCAGTTGAAATAGAGACAATAAACTTAATCGAAATAACTGAATTTTTTGAAGCTTGCATAGTTGCAGCATGAACAGCACACGTTAAAAGTAAAACATATACTGTTATTTTTAAATGCTTGCGCCACATTTTCTCTGGGGTAGAGAAAACTTGAACCTCTGGCAAGAAGACCTGAATATATTGGTTGTAATGGTTTGGATCAAAAGGACTTTCAAGGATTAGTTAAAAAGAAGTCTATCCATGATGAATTTTAAGACATGACTATAGAGAGCTTGTGGCATATATAAATGGATTAAGTTAAATCCAGGTTGTTGATTGTTTATTTAACGTTTTCTTTCTTCCCTCACCTCTTCTTCTTAACAGGATTTCAGCACATTCAGACAAACCAGCATTTACATCTGAAGAAGTATACGAAAAGTTATTTAATCTTCAATAAGGTATTAATTACTTCTGCATTTCTTGAAAATAGGATTTTTCTGTTATGCTTGATGGCTTGGAAAGCCGTAAATGGAATCGTTAAAGTTATATTAATCCAATTGCAATTTTGTTTACACTAGAAACATCTTTGATTATATTAATATTTACATTCTATTATGTCTTACCAAATATATCCTCAGTTTTTCATTGACAAGACAGTTTTGAATGTTTTTTTTTGTGTTTTAAATTTTTAAGGTTGCTACTGGCTAACAAACAATTCCGAAAGCCAAAACCTAAAGCTGAGAAGCAAAAGAAAAATGAATCTGAGGAAGCAGTTGAGCAATCGGAGAGTTTCTAAATTCTAACTTCTAAGAAGAATGCTGAAACTGGAAAAATCAACATAGATTTCAAAGGCAGCTCGGGCGTAAGAATTCAAGGAAGAAAATGAGGTTCCAATGATGAGTTGTGGATATAAAAGATGGACAAATGCCAATAGGACCGTGGGAGATGCAGTGGCTGCCAAAATTTTAACTGCGAGGAAATGGCATATAGTGTTTTTTTTTTTTTTTTTTTTTTTTTTTTTTTTTTTTTCCCTAAAACAGCTTAATTTATTATCATTGAGATTGAAGGCTCTAGGGCAATTGGTTAGATTTTTCCCCTTGATTAATTCTATTAAATATAGGATTATACCCATGAGACTAAGAGGTAATTTTTTTTTTTTTTTTTTTTTTCCCTAAAAACAGCTTAATTTATTATCATTGAGATTGAAGGCTCTAGGGCAATTGTAGATTTTTCCCCCTTGATTAATTCTATTAAATATAGGATTATACCCATGAGACTAAGAGGTAATTAATGGCGTGCATGCCTGTTTCCCTCTTTGGGAGTTTTGATATTCTGTATTCCAAATATTATCCAATAGCTAATTTCATTTCAGTTAATATATCATTTATAAATATGGATTCTATTTATTTATTTTTCCTGGAGAATTGTCTTTGAACAATAGGTGTATATGCATGAAACCTTTAGCTATGTTTTTCCATATCTTTTTAAGCAGTTTTGGGACTTAAAATTCAACGTGCAGCAATGCTTATGAATATGTTTTTTCGTAGATATTCATAATGCTTAGATAAACATATTCATAATGTTTAGATAAACGTATATATTTTTTTCAAATATTGAAATGAGAATAGTTTTGCTTGATTATTTGTAATTTTTCAAATTTTCACTAATAAAAACTTTACCAAAACAAAAATTAAATTCTTCTACAAAAAATCAACCCATGTCAATGAAAACTTACGTATGATGTTCGGACCTATGCCTTGGATTGCTTGTTCGGACCTCTCGCTCTACCCCTCCTCAGATTTCGATTTTTCTAGTCACCTTCTTCTATTCGTTCTTACGCTAACAGCCTAGTCTAGTCTCCCTATTCTCGTTAACCAAGCCGAGCCGACAAGAGGTCCTTTCCTTTACCAGCTTTTGGAGAGTAACCTTCTTTATTCCTTCAATGAAGCTCTCAACTCATATTTACAATAAAGCTGAAGCTTCTGGTTTGTTGCAATTTCGTTGGTCACAGGCTCGACAAATCGCTAAACTAGGAATGGCTCTAGAAAGGGTGTCGTTCTGAATTCTCATAAGCAGACTCTTCTTAACTTCTCTGCTACTCTTGAGGCTGTTTCTAAGTAGATATTTGAAAATCACAAGTGATATTATCTGTCATTGTCATTATACATTATTATCGGAGATTACACTTTCACTTTCCTCAAAACACCACACCCAGAAACTCCCTGTCTTGCCCATGGCAAATGCAATTCTTTTTCATAATTTCTAGATTTGAGTGGAATTTTGAATTTGTTTTATTAATGGATGTGTTTCTGAGTTGAATTTAAAGAAGTTTTACTCTTTGATCTAAAGATTTGAGTTGAATTTGTTAATCCATATGTGTTTCTAGGTTTCAGGTTTAAGTTTATGGGATATGACATGATTTTTTTTTTCATTTTTATTTTATTTTTCAAATTCTTTACGGATAAAATTTGTGTCGTGGACACAGGTAAAAGCCCTAGTCTCCATAAGTGGGCGATTATCATTAAGATGGACCAGTCATTTCAATTGTTTATTTATTGTTCTTCTAAAAAATTATTTATTTATTCAGCTTCCACGTTATTTTGAGCCACATCAGTTATTTTTATCCAAATCAGCATATTTTACAATATGTCATAGACATCAGTCCGTCTATATAGACCAAAGACACTAATTTATATGATTTAGACAGTTAATTGTAAATATTTTTTATTCAGTTATTAAAATAAAAAAAAATTTTAAAAGTTTAGATACTAAATTTATAATTATCTCAAAAAGAAAAGAACTGTCTATTGTACAATAGTCATTTTCTATTAGTAAACGAATCAAAAGGAATGAAATAATCCATTCCATCCACATCCACAATTGCTCCTGAAGGTAATTAATGCGACAATTAGCCCTAAATTGTCTTTATAATCTTCTGTTAAAACATCAGTGTTACCATGAAAATCGTTCCAAAAAATTTTGATTGGGACATTTCAGAGCACGGTCATATACAATCTCTGTCCTTTTGGCAACGTCATGCCAATTGTAGAGTTTCTTCATCTAATGTGAACACTAAACAAATATTCGGCAATTGCACAAGTTGTAAAAAGATCAAAAGAAATAAAAGTAACCACAAATAATTCCATTCACCTACACGATCATGCATAACTTGTGGGTCAATTCTTGGAAGAATACAAATTGCTTTTCTGATTGCTTGTACCACATCACCAGGATCTGGTTCTGCAAGTACAATCATGTCATCTGGTAGAACCTACATGGAGAGAAAAGTTGATTGGCTACATTATTTAGAATTTCTAGAAATTCAATCACACCAGCATGCAACTAGCTAAACCTTTAAAACTATTGACTATCAATATTTATATTAATGAGATTGAAGAAAAAAGCCTCATGATACATGCTTCAGGGACACCTCTACTAGTGTACTGACTGCCAATAATCCACAACTAGTAGCCTCCAATATTGCTATGCAAAATGCTTCTGTTAAAGAACTGTCCATAGTGAAAAACATGAGACAGCAAAAAAGGACAAGACATAATTCAATGGATGACTAAAGGTGAATTCAAGAAATAGACCCTCTGTCCAGAAAATTTCCCATGCATTATACTTTTTTTGAAAAAACTTAAAAAGGCTCAATTGAAACCAAGCATAAAGAAAAGAATCCATATAGATAAACCAAATTAGATTTGGAGTATGGCTTAGTTGAGTAAGTTGATCCTGGTTTTGAAAGGGAGGTCCTTCTCATGATAAAATATAGTCATGCTAAGTCTAATTTGGCGTGTTTGTCCGATGGGTGTCCAGGAACTTAGGTTGTCAGTTAATGCTAAGTCCACCCCAAAGCTTTACTAGAGTTAGTAGATGCTTTATACTTGATCTTAGTCACATCATTCTTTTGTAAGTTCTAGTTGCATTTCTAGCTTGCAACCAAAAAGTATTTAAAATGGGATCCACACAAAAACAAAGAACTGCTTATAGTATAAGTATCAAAGGGCTCAATATACCATATCTGAAAATGACAAACACTTCCAGATGGCAATTGCCAAAATCTCCGTAAAATGTTGAAGTCCAGTTATTGATTATAAACATTTATTTAAAGGACAAAGGTAAATTTCTATCAAAGGAAAGAGATACATAGAAAGAAACAAGAAACAAACTCGATAATCATGCAGTATAGAAGCTGAGGGCCAGAGAATTGAAGTCTTTCACCTTTCTTTAAGAAGAACTACCATATGCCTACTTACTTGACCTGTTTATTTGCGACAATACCCCTACCAGCTATGACCAATTCCAGTTGTTGCTATACCATTTATATTTGCATAAAAGACCTAAATGTCCATGAAAAAGAAAGATTAAGCCTATAACAACCCCAGCAAGTTCTTATGACCATCAGTTAAATCTATCAGCGCATTCTGGAATTTAATTTAATTTTCATGTTGAAGAACTCTGATTTCAATATTATCAAACTACCAAATCAAATATTCCTTCCGTCCCATATATATAGGCTTATTTTCTTTTTTCGTTTTTCTCAAAATATAGTCTTATTTCACTTTTAAAAAGATCATTTATTATTCAATTTCTTAATATACCCTTATATAATATACATCCATAATCCAATTGTATATACATCAATATTTAATATTATAAAGGAATATTTTTGAAAAAAACTAAAAAAAAATATATAATTTAACTATACTAATTAGTTTTTTTTAATCTATGTGAAAGTCAAACTAGACCTATATATACATATATTGTACCGAGAAAGTAGTATAAAATATATTCAAATTTGAGAATCTTTCCGAACACGAGCATGTGGCACAGCACCCAGCATTTCAACTTGATCTTGAAGAGAATGCTTCTCCCTCATCTCTTCGAACCGCACGCGTTTAGGTCCATCTCCACCAACAACAAAATGAACCTTAACACATGTTTCTCAATGAGATGATGAGAGCACAATAAATAGAAAGATAATGAAATTCACTGCTGAAAACTGTATTCCCACATGAAGATAGCTTATAAATATTTTTTAAGTAAGAAGAAAAAGTATCTTTAGACTGAAATCAACAAGCAGGGACTAAGCCTAGTTACAGACCCAAGACCATATCTAGTTCATATAGAGAAAATCCATTCGCATTATCAAGAGGTACTTGGTCACATTCCCTACTTGTTCCACAAGCGGAAATGGGATTCAGATCCATGACAAAGCAACCTTACCATTATACCAAGATTAAAAAATAAGTATTGCACATGGAAAATAAGTTCTCAAATCTCCATGACAAAAGAAAAAGATGTGAAAATTTTAGTTCTCCCAATATAAGACCTTATTTTTTACAAATTGTCCATGAAAGAGTTGTGCATTTTCTTTAGCCGATTCACAAAGCTTAGGGCTGAGCATAAGTCGGAGATGACCGGAAGACCGACCTGACTGACCAGTCCTGTTCGGTTTTGATTTGGTTTTCAA